AGACAAAAATGGTTATGTGAAAGGGCAATTCTTGCACCAAAAAATGAGAGCGTTAACAAAATAAATTCAGAAATATTAAGCGAAGTAGCAGGAGAAATAACAGAGTATTTGTCAGTAGACACAGTTATGGACACAGAACAGAGCACTTCATATCCTGTAGAGTTTCTAAATTCTCTAGAGTTGTCAGGTGTGCCGTCACACAAGCTTCAATTAAAATTAGGCGTCCCAGTCATGCTAATGCGAAATTTAGATGCTCCTCGGTTATGTAACGGGACAAGGCTGCGTGTGATACATCTTGGACGGAACATAATCGGTGCTACAATTTTGACAGGCGTAGGAAAAGGTGAAAATGTTATTATACCACGGATCCCTATAATTACCACAGATCTTCCTTTTCAATTCAAAAGGTTGCAGTTCCCTATTAAGCTCAGTTTTGCAATGACAATTAATAAAGTGCAAGGGCAAAAGTTACAGGTAGCGGGGGTCAACTTAGAAAAACCGTGCTTCTCTCATGGTCATCTGTATGTAGTATGTTCGCGTGTGTCAAATGCCCAGAATCTCCACATCTTTCCCCGAATGGAAAAACATATAGCATTGTGTACAGTACCTTCTTAAAATAGTGTTCAGTTAGTTTTTTTTTCCAAAATTCCCACAATCAATTAATCAGAATTCCCACAGATCTTCCCTTTCAATTCAAAATTTGCTATTTAGCTCTGTTTCTTTTCAATTCCAAATGCTGCACCTCTGACGGACCTATTAAGCTCAGTTTCCTTTCAACTCAAAAGACTGCATCTCTGACAGATCTTTTATTTGGCTCAGTTTCTTTTCAATTCCAAATGCTGCACCTCTGACTGACCTATTAAGCTCAATTTCCTTTCAACTCAAAAGGCTGCATCTCTGACGGATCTTTTATTTGGCTCAGTTTCCTTTCAATTCAGAAAACTGCGTCTCTGACGGAATCAATTTAGCTCAGTCTCTTTTCAAAAGTCTGCATCCCTGACGGATAATTATGCTCAGTTTCCTTTAATTAAAAAAATAGAAATAGAATATCCATTAGAATGGAATAAACAGGCTATTTTCATGCTTTCCTATACGCTGCGTTTCAAAACATTTAAATAGGCTGACGAATCAATTTTACTCAATTTCCTTATAATGGCTGCATCTCTGACAAATCTATAAAACTCAGTTTTCTTTCAATTCAAAAAGCAATGGATAGTTCAGTTCCCAGTGACCATGCGGGTGAAGCCGCGGGTAACAGCAAGTTCAATATAAATTGAGTCAATATACTTGTTTCGCTTTTTTTATTTAATTCTCGAATAAGCCAAAAATAGACAAATCTATTGAAAGATGTTGCGTATAATTCAAGCCTAATCAAATAGAAATGTCAGGTGGTCATCTTTGGTCTCTTTGTACTATGCCAAATATGAGAGTAAGTACACTCGTATGTTATGATTTACTAGAGAAATGTCATCCTTGTCAAAAAAAACTATTATAGTATTATGTGTACCGTTTCTTTTCAAGACATTACGTCTTTAATCCATAGAAATTTCGATCGCAATGTTAGCTAAAATCTAGCTAAAATCGACATCGCTTACTATCCAGGTGGACTGTGTGTTCGTTTGCCAACCTTAGTCTATTAAAAAAAACTGTCGTAGCAGTGCCATCTGTGTACGTCCCGTGACACAAAGAAAGTGTCTATCAAACAAACAGAGTATATTATTCATTGGGACTGAATGGAAGTAGATTTCATAATGAACTTTTCACAATACATTTTAAATTATACAATGATAGTACGAAATTCTGCATTATTCAACTGTGTTTTGTTGTAAGATGTAAGATGAAGCTTCCATAAGCTTTTGTTGATATAAATAAGTATTACGAACCGGTTGACATAGTGATTTCTTATATTTACGCGAACTCTACAAATTGATTAAAACTATTTTACGTATTTTGTCGCGTTATATTAATTTTATTTTTATTTTTATATGTAGCTAACTGTGAAGGATGATGGTGAGATTCACCATTTAAATATCGGTTTGTATGGGTCTTTTTTCTATACACAGTGTGACCTATAGTGTTGTTAGGATTTCGTATGAACAACACATCTAGGAAAGCTAAGGAATTATTTGCCTCTAACTCCATAGTGAATTGAACTTTAGAGTTTTTTAAAATTAAAATGTTCTAAAAATGCAGTTAATTTGTCAGATGGTAAAATTGTGAAAGTATCGTCTACGTACCGCTTGTAAAATCTTGGGGCAACAGATGCAGTAAGGAGAGCTTTCTCCTTAAAGTCTTCCATGAATATGTCTGCGAGAATGAGAGATACAGTAGAGCCATCGCAACAACATCTAATTACTTGCAAAACTCTTCCTTCCACAATAGATAGCCAGATGCAAGGCAATGTCTTAGTAGTACTGCATATTTTGGTGGCATGGTATTTTCATCTAGTTTCCTATAATTTAATTATAGTTATAATTGAAATGCAGTCTTCAACAGTTGGTCATGTAAATAGATACTGAACATCAAAACTGACCATAGTTTAATTGTCAGTAAGACGTATATTCATAGATCTTTTATTTCACTGACAAAATGGTATGAATCCTTAGTATATGCTCTTGTGTGTCCTCTGTGTAGTGATAATATTTTGCTAAGTGTTGAGCCAATCTGTAAGTTGGCGAATCGATCTCACCCACTATTGGATGTAATCGAGCATTAGGTATTTGTATTTTTTGTAACCCATACGACTTCGGAAGTTTAGCACACAAAGACATCAAATTGGCGTCTAGATTCAATTTCTCAGATTATTTCTTAATTAGATCGCTAGTTGTTTTAAGCGTATTAGTTGTAGGGTCTGTTTTGACCTTACGGTATATATTTTCATCCGACAAAAGTTGTTGTATTTTAATTAAGATTTAAAAAAATAATTAATTTAATTCGATTACAAATTATTTTTTACGGTGACCGTGACTGCTGGAAAAAATAAAAAAGACGTGTGGCACTCGGGGACTGCCGCGGTAAGCTATTGCATCGCATTTTGTATCAACTTATGCAATTATAATTATTTATTTATTTTATTTATGCAGTATTTCTTTTTCTTTGATATTAATTCAAGTTACACTTTTTGAGCGTGGTGACCGATAAGAAAACATTTTTTTTTTCTTTTAATAAATAAATAATAAATGCACTTTGTTCATTCATATTCAAAACACTTTATACACAAATTTTACAAGTACAGCTATTCACTGTTGTACATAAATACCTATACACCTATATACTTTCTCATAAACAGCTGCTTATGTATTCGTCCGATTTCGGAGCAGCTCGTCTCGATTCGTGCGAGCTTCGTAGAGTCGTACAATACGTCTAGTTGCACGCACACAAACACCGTGTCGAAGACTGCCGAAAAGAAACGACGTTAGACAATGCACGGACTTCAAGCCACACCTCCGTGCCCGTCGGAGTGGGGAGCGTGAGGTTTTTTCGTTACGGAATTTCTGGATTCGATCCCCGCGCTCAAGGCCCGCGATAGAAGCTATGCAATAGCTTAAAAATATAACGCGATAAAATCCGAAAAGTAGTTTTAATCAAAATTACGAACCGGATTAATAAAAATCCTTAATTTTACTAAGTCATAGACTAAATGAATTTATCGACAACGTTTTTTGTTACGCTAATGGCACATCAATAGAGGTGTCTATCGATTGAAAAAACGGCAACCACCTTTTTAAAAAAAGAAGGTGAGATTCGTAGACTATGTTCAGCAGTGGACTTGTGAAGGGCTGTAATGATGATGATAAATATTTATCATTTTACTAATCTGGACCCAAAGGGTGTTAACAGGATCGTAATACTAAGCCTACAAGATTTGCCTTGCAGGCTTAGTATTACAGTCCTGACGGAATGTGACCGTCATGCAACTGATATAAATGTATGTCAATAATATCATTAGATGAGTAAACAAGAAATTGAAATCAATACTAATCTAATACCGATTACAATATTTTTAGTTGTAAATGTACAGCACTGATAGATTAAATAAAACTTCTTCATCACTAGAATCCATTAAGCGAGGTTTAGATCAGCAACAAAACTTGCAGAAGTTGACTTCTGAAATCTATTTCTACCATGTAAACAATCACGTCAAGCTCATTTCCGCAAGTTTTGTAACGTCAAGTTCCGCAAGTTAAGTTCTGGCAGTAACTTGCAGTTTATTTTGATTGCAAATAAAAGTTTAAAGTTGCTAAGCAAGATGTCAGGTAAAAAAGTTTGGAACTAGGATGAAACTATGCGGTTAATAGAGAAGTATGAACAATACAGAGAATTATGGGATCCGAAACGTTTACGCAGTTTAAAAATTTCATTCTGATGAAATTTTTAAACTGCATAGATTCTTCGCACCTGAGTTCTTTTAATAGATGATTGCGGATACCAACAGTATCTCTGCTTAATACCCAATTCTTAACCCACTTTCTATTTTTCCGTTTTTTTTTCATATGATAGGGTGACAAGCGAGCACACAGTCCACCTGATGGTAAGTGGTTACTGTGGCCCATAGACATCTACATCTATCTTCAATTACGAATCAAAATGCAGATTTGTTATCACCCGTGAGGACTAAGACTACTTACTGGATACGAGGCATTCCACCTCGTATCCAGTAAAAAGGGTCTCCGGTTCTTTAAACTCACCATACAAAACACAGCAGCTTAAGCCACACGTTGCTTAGCAAAGTGTAGTTTGCTAAACAAAAAAACCGGCACGGAGAAAGGGACAAACAATCGCACTGCTCTGTCTCATTTCTATGCAAGACGTATGCATAAATCTATCTTTTTTTTGTGCGAATGCGAAAGAAGGAGTCAATTTGTCTATAGGTTTCTCTGTCTGCGTTTTAACATGTTTTTTGTGAAAATCTCGTCAGTGCCAACTCACGGTAAAATAAAGATTATAGATATAAAAATTGCACTTTTCAAATTAGTTATTCCTCATCGAATGAATTGGCTATGGCTGGGGATGCGGCTCCTCAGGCGACAGACCAGCATCCACGCGTGGAAGCCGCCATGGATCTTCCAATTGTTGTTGATTCAGACGATGATGAAATGGTCTCCCACGAACTAGAGCAAATGGGGAGTATATTGGAAGAGGTGATTTTAGAAACGCGCAGCATGCCTCTCGAAAATCGACCGCAACTTCCCCGCATAACCCTAAGCAAGCGAAATCGGATTGTCGTGAGGGCTATTAACCCAATGCTGGTAACCTATTTGGAAGTCAGCCGGGACCTTTCCGAGATGGACTCGGTTCGTTTTGGCGCCGCAGTGGAAGCTTGCCGTATTATTGGTGCCAAACTTCCCTAGGCTGGACGCGCTACTAAACAAAGTAGCGCCATCCCAGCCTGGAGAAAAAGAATTGAGGACCGTATCGCAAAGGCAAGAGCCCTTATCGGCAGACCGACAAGCTTCAGGTCGGATAATAATAGACCGAGGGATGTGCGCACCGTTAAAATGGCGTTTTCTGGAACAAATATTAGTTTATCCCAGCCGGATATCACGCAGAAACTAACGGAGCGCATAGACGACCTGAAACAAAAGATCGCTACTTGCGGGAAGCGGATTCGACGATTTACCGAGAAGTCAAGGCGGTTCAACCAGAATCGTCTCTTCCAGAGTGATCAGAAGAGGCTCTATAAATCATTGGAGTGACCAGAGGTATGTGGAGCGGGCCCAGGACCGGGTCAGGCTAACACTGTCGCATTTTGGAGTGGCCTGTGGTCAGAGCTCGTAAACCACAGCGAGGGCCCTTGGATAAAAGTTGTGGCGAGCCAGAGTGCGAGTGTTACGCCTATGGACCCCGTCACCATAACGCCAGAAGACGTGGCTGGGGCGGTCCGTAGGGCCCCGAACTGGAAAAGTCCGGGGCTCGACGGGTTGCATCATTACTGACTGAAGGGATTCGTAGTGTGTCACGCTGTGCTCGCCCGACAGTTTCAAGAGGCTCTCGATCAGAAGTCGCTCCCGAGCCTCTTCACTACGGAGATTGGCGTGTTACACTGCCGTATTACACTTGGTTCCTAAAGATCAGGATACCACAGACCCGAGCAAATACCGCCCCATCACGTGTCTATCCACCATATATAAGACACTGACATCAATTTTGAGCGCGAGAATCACTCGTCACCTGGAGCTAAATCAGGTGATGTCACGCGCTCAAAATGGATGTCGGGGCGGTGGTCGTGGAACCAAGGAACCACTCCTCATTGACGCGGTCATTGGCAAGTGGTGAAACGCAACCGTCGGAACTTCTCCGCCACCTGGATAGACTACAGAAAGGCATTCGACTTGGTGCCTTATATATGGCTAAAGAGAGTCCTCGAGCTGTACAAGATAGACTGTACAGTTAGAGACTTTCTCGAGCAGTGTATGGGGCAGTGGAGTACGATCCTTTGTCATCTGGGTGAGCGGATGATGGCTGCGGAGAACCACATAAGGATAAGAAGATGTATCTTCTAGGGCGATTGTCTGAGTCCAATCTGGTTCTGCCTCTCTCTGAACGGTCTCAGTACCTTACTGGAGGGTTCCGGGAGAGGATTTCAGCTACGGAAGGGAGGGACAGTTACCCACCTTTTCTATATGGATGACCTCAAGTTATTCGCCTCCAGTCGCTCCCATCTTATGGAATTGCTAAACATCACTTGTGAATTTAGCAATTCCATTGGAATGGAGCTGGGGACGGATATGTGTGCGGTCCTCCATGTTGAAAGGGGAAGGGTTGTTAACTCTGAGGGCATAGTTAACAACCCTTGTGAATAAGACACACGCATATAATGGTTGGGTCATGCCTGTCCTCATCTATACCTTTGGCATACTCAGGTGGACTCTGAGTGAAGCTCTTAGCGCCCTGGATAGAAAAGTCAGCACTACCATGACGTCCCATAAAGATCGTCGGTAATGATGTTCTACTTGTCGCGAAAGCATGGTAGGCGTGGCTTTCTGAGCGCGCTCACCATGCATAATCGCGAAGTGTGCAGCCTCCGTCATTACTTCCTGGCGAGATCGGATGATCCATTCTATAGGGACGTCATTTCTAGTGATAAAGGGCTTACCCCTCTATCCTTACCCAACGAGCAATGGCAGGACCAAGCAGTACATAGCATTTCCGACCGGGAGACTGTATGGAAGGAGTAGGAACACCACGAGAGGTACTACAGGGCTCTACATGAGCCCTACGTATATACAGCCGCCTCCCTCAACCGGCTACATTTCGGTGACCTTTTCGGGGAAACCGAGGATTTTGTCTGTGAAATACAGGATCAGGTTATTAAGACCAACAACTATCGGAGATACATCCTAAATGATGGCACCATCGACGTCTGTGGAGCTTGTCGCCATCCCGGTGAGTCGCTTAGGCATGTCATCTCCGGTTGTTCGGCGCTTTCTAACTCTGAGTACTTGCACAGACATAACTTAGTAGCCAGAATTCTATACCAAGAGCTCGTTCTGAAATACGGTCTCGTGGACCGGAAATTGCCGTATTACAAGTACTTGCCGGAAGCCGTGCACGAAAATGACCGCGCCAGGCTCTACTGGGACCGGGCCATCACCACAGATAGGACTATTCTTGCGAATAAGCCTGATATTGTGCTGATGGACCGGGCACAGTCAAGGATATTTTTGGTCGACATTACCATTCCGTATGACGAGTACCTCGTGAAAGCCGAAACAGATAAGCGAACAAAATATCTGGACCTAGCTCACGAGGTGACTGACATGTGGGGTAGTCCGCCGGCCGAAATTATTCCTGTAGTCGTCTCTGCGAATGGGCTAATCCCAGTCAGCCTCTCAGGTCATCTGAGGTGACTGGGACTTCGTGACGGACCGCTCCGGGCTCAAATGCAGAAGGCAGTGCTCCTCGATACCGCCCCAATCGTCCGCCGGTTTCTTTCCCTTTCCTCCTAACCCTCGGCCGTCTGGTCTCCCCTGCCGAGGGCTTCCATCTGAGTGGATCTTATCTATTTATGTATTTTTTGTATTTTTTAATTTTATTGATATTTATGTATATTTATCTTTTCGTTTTAATTTATAATTATATATTTATAGAACCCAACCAGATGAGAAAACTGATTATATACCCCAAGATAATAATGATAATTAGTCGCGGGTTTGTTATCGCACGGCGCGGTCACTCGCTACTTTGGTGGGGAGCGGTTGTGTCGGAGTGTATAAATAGCAGCTGTTTCGGCTCGCCGCTCATTTAGTGGTCAGCTACCGTAGAGTCTACATCACATGAGGATGCCTCGTGTAGAGGCGAAACAAGTGTCTTATTATCGTCGACGGTGTGTCTTACCTGGAATAGTGGTGTTGGATGTAGTGGTGCCGGGAGTACTGGTGCTGGGACTAGTGGTGACGGAGTTAGTGCATGCAATTGAGGAAGAGGAAGAGGTGCTCTTCAATCCAGGTAAGACACATCATTGTATTTAATTAGCGGAAGAATGCGGAGTAATTAATATTTTTATTATAATGGATTTCCGCAAAGTAACGTCTGACGATAGTCCGTGACGTCAAATGAACAACATCTCAACGCTTGTGCCCTCGCAAGAAATATTCAAATTCTTAGTTTAATTACATTAAAAGTGCTGATAACTTCATAGCTTTGAAGTTAAGTGTTTATTTGTGGCTGTGTATAGTGTACCTGGTGATATAATTAGTGGAAATTACTTCAAATTCTAACAATAACAGTTCAGTTCATAAACGATCATTCAAATTTTAATTACGTTAAAGGTGTTCACAAAAACGCGTAAGCGACGCTAATTGCACGGCGCTAACGACCTTTTTGTCACAACATCCTACCTTAGATGCGGCCTGGGAGAGGGCTTGACTAACGGCTTGCAACAAAATAATATTGCATACTGGAGCTTAACTTCTCTGCCTTTGGGTGACTTTTGTTAGGCTTGTCTTGCATACAGTTTAAATAAATAAAATTCCTCCAAAAGCAAAATACTGTGCGGGCTGTTCGAAAAAAAATCACAAACCGCGAATTTTTGTCGTGCTGCTTATGCAATGATACCTATGATATTGAATGCGTAAATTACTCGTACAAGTTATTTTGCCTTATGGATAAGGAAAAGAAAGACAATTGGAAATGCCCAACATGCAAAAGTAAACAAAGGAAGTTCGACAATACTAACACCCCTGTACAAGGCTGTCGTATGGATTCGCTTTTATCTGCGTCTGATCAGATAATCGATGGCTCCGAAAAATGTAATTTAACTCAACGCAAACCGCTAATCCCAGAGAAACAACCATTATCTCCTAGTTCTTCTTCTATCATGGACGATAAGGTTTTAGTCAATATTATACGTCGAGAAATACAGCAGTCTGTGACGGAGGCTGTTGAATCAGCCGTCAAGATGTATTTTTCTAAGGAGTTTGATGAAATTAAAAGCGAATTGGCTACCTTACGAGAAATCGGTAAAAGTGTGGAATTTCTTAGCTCTCAATATGACCGGATGAATTGTGACATAAAAAATTTACAGAATCGACTTACCGTGGTTACTAAAGAGAATTTAACGCTATCCAGTCAAGCATTAGATATCTCGGATAGATTTAAACTAATGGAACAACACTCTCGTGAAACGAACATTGAGATCAACGGCGTTCCGGAAAATATGTCCGAAAATTTGCTGTCTTTAGCAAACAACTTTGCTCTACTATTTCCGTCCTTTTAATGGACGCTGAAGTACTATCGGGCGCTAGAGTAAGAAAAATGAATGATAACAATGATCGTCTCCGTTCCATCATAATTAAATTGCAGTCCACAATAATACGTGACGCAATATTGGCTGCGGTTTCCAGTTTCAATAAGAAAAACATGACAGATAAACTTAATTCTTCTCATTTGGGATATGGTGGGAATAAATCACCAGTATATGTTTCTGAACATTTATCCCCTCAGAACAAAAAACTACATGCTAGCACTAGAAACATTACACGTGAAAAGGGTTATAAATATGTTTGGATCCGTAATGGTCGTATTTTTGTGCGAAAAGATCATACCCCTGCAAAACAAATTAAATGCCACGACTCTTTGAAAAACTTATAATTACATAATTTGATATGCCATATTACTAAGACTGTAACTGTCAAAATAAAATTCAATATATATTATCAAAATTTCGGAGGTCTGAAAACTGAGACGGACAACATTAAACTATCTTCACTGGTTACCCATTATGATATAATAGTGGGAACAGAAACATGGCTTTACGACACAGTATCGGACGGGGAACTGTTCGGCGCAAACTTAAATGTTTATAGACGTGATCGTAATTCTACCCATCTAGCTGGCAAGCGAGGCGGAGGTGTCCTGGTAGCAGTATCAAAGAAACTGTACTCTAAAAGAGTTAACCACTTTGAGAGCTGTTATGAAGACTTGTGGGTTTCGGTGAGAGTGAATATTAATGGTAAACTCGTGGACTGCTTGTTTTGTGTAGTATACTTGCCCCCTCCAGTAACTAATAGTTTATTAGATGGATTTCTTGACAACTGCAATATTGTAAATGCAATCATGTAGTAACGACACAATAATATTGGGCGATTTTAATTTGAATTTTATATATTGGATTACCGATGTTACCAAATCCGTAAACAAATTAACCCCTAACAATTATTGCTGTAATTTAGGATTTCAGTTTATTGACTTCTTGTCTTTAAACAATTTATCACAATTTAATGCTGTGAAAAACGCTAATAACAGAACCCTTGACCTTGTTTTAAGTAATCTTAAGAATATAAATGTTGCCGAATGTCCATGTCCAATAAGTAAAACTGATCGTCATCATCCTGCTTTAGAGATAAATGTAAATATGTCGGTACCGCATTTGTCGAATAATAAATCTTTTGCTACTCACAATTTTAAAAAGGCTGATTATACTAAAGTAAATTCTAGGTTAAGTAAAGTTGATTGGGGTTTTGAATTCAGTGATTGTCAGGAGGTCGATGTCATGGTATCTAGGTTTTACAAAATACTTTATTCCATTGTTGATGAAACTGTACCCAAAACGAAGCCGCGGAATTTAAAGTTTCCTATTTGGTTTACGCCGAACTTAATTAAACTGATAAAAGAAAAAGAAAAGATCCGATTAAGGCACAAAATTTACAAAAATCTAAGAGATACATTAGAACCCAAGCTCTTAAATTACCGGGTTAAGTCGTTGGCCTCTAAGAATTTAGATTATATACGGGAAACCGAAAAATCCATTGTCTAATCCTAAAAAGTTTTGGTCGTTCGTCCATCATCGTAAATCCTGCGATTATGGTTTTCCAGAAGAAATGTACCTAGACAATCTCTCGGCTAATAGTGGTGAGGGGATATGTAATCTTTTTGCTCAACATTTTTCATCTGTGTTCTCCCAAACCAAGTGCACTGCAGCTCCTGTATTGTTCGATGTGTATCCACAAAGTTCTTTGCATGATATAGAAATAACAGAACGTAAAATCCTGAGTATACTCAAGTCGCTAGATATCTACAAAGGAGCGGGTCCTGACGGCATTCCTCCTCTTTTTATAAAGATGACTTCAAAATATCTAACTCTTCCTCTAAAACTAATTTTTAGTAAATCGTTATTAACCAGGTCTTTTCTAACTGACTGGAAACGTTCCAATGTTATACCTATTCACAAGAAAGGAGATAAAAATAATGTTAAAAATTACAGACCGGTTTCAATTATAAGCTTATTTCCAAAGATATTTGAACGCTTAATTTATCCGAGTTTAACAAATCATCTAAAAAATGTTTTCGTAGAGGCACAACACGGGTTTTCCAAAGATAAATCTACTGTTAGCAATTTGATGGATTACGTCATGAAAGTTGCAAGTGCAATGGATGGTCAAATGCAGCTGGATTCCATATACGCAGATTTTTCTAGTGCATTTGATGTCGTGGACAATCAATTACTTATATCTAAATTAAATTCATACGGCGTGCATGGGAATTTACTTCGTTGGCTAAGTTCTTATCTCAAAAATAGATTACAAAGTGTCGTATTGCATGGATATAAGTCTAATGATTATGGGGCTCTATCGGGCGTACCACAAGGTTCACATATTGGTCCTATTCTTTTTTTGGCGTTTATTAATGATATAACACATAGCATTAAGTACAGCCACTGTTCCATTTTCGCCGACGATTTAAAATTGTTCAAGGCTATAAAAAACCAGGATGATGTTCTATCTTACACATAATGGTGCAAAAGCAATAAAATGAAACTTAATCCTCGTAAGTTTACCTACGTTAAATTCACAAAGAATAAATCTACTGTTAAATCTTCTTGCTTCATTAATAAAGAGGTACTGAGTGAATCTTCATCCACTCGTGATCTTGGAGTCATTCTTGATAACAAACTTAGCTTTATAGAACATATAGATAATGTAGTAACGCGTTCATGGAAAATGCTAAGTTTTGTCAAACGTACATGTAAGGATTTCAAAAATGCTCAGACTCTGATAACTATCTATAATGCATTGATTCGTAACAGTTTAGAATATGCCTCGGTGATATGGAATCCTTATAAAATTCACATTCACAGAATCGAGCGTATTCAACAAAACTTCACTCGATTCATTGCATAATAAGTTCAAAACTGTCCATACTATAAAGATTATAACTCTAGACTTTCTCATCTTAGAATAAGTTCACTGGCTGACCGACGAAAGCATTTAGACTTAATGACGCTACGTAAACTTCTACACGGTAAGTTAATTTCGCCAAGTTTACTGCAGCAAGTGTGCTTTAAAATCCCCTTTCATATTCCTAGACACCCAATTACTAATTTGTTCAATATTCCCATCAGTAGAACCAATTTAGGCAAGTTTTCTCCGTTAAGCAGATGTATGCGAAATTACAACAGCTTAAAATATCATGACATCAACATATTTAGCGACCCCGAACGTGAATTTAAAAGAAAATGTAAAGACTTACTGTTACCTGCCTTGCCAGACTAAAAACTCAAAATTATTATTTATTGTAATTATTACTGGATGTGGTGCTTTTACTTTGATTGATTAGTTTAATTCCTTTTTGTTTTAGAGTTTATATGCTTTTTAGGTTTTTTTTTTCTCTTATATTGATGTATACGCCTGTAAAGACGTATCCTTTATCTAAAAATGTAGTATTTTGATTGTAACAATGTTTACTGATATTGTCTATGGTGTATCTATTTAAATAAATAAATAAATAAATTACAGTTATTCTATCACTTGCTACATATTTATTTATCTAGTTATTGTGTTATTAGAGTTGTAAAGTTCGTCTGTTCTTTTATTTATATGAACTCAGACGTCGCTACATAAATCCCTATCAGGAAAAAAACGCTTTTATCTGAACAATATTCCGAATTGTGTAAGTTATATTTCAGGAGAATTGGAACGATTTTTCGTAGAACTCACTTCTCGACCAGGCTATGAGTTTTGATTGAAGCTTGAACGTCAACGGATTGTTGATCTTGTTTAATCGTTTAAATAATGGTTTGAAAGGGATTTGGATACGTAAAAGTGATTTTGTTTATTATAAGTGTCTGCGTATGTGAACTATTAGAGAAAATGACGAAACAATATGTTCATAATATAACTTGAATGTCTCTAGTACATAGTCAGTCAGTAATCTATGCTTGGGTGACTGTCGTCATCGACTGTCCGCTGGATTGAGCTGTCATTAAAATCTCCCAAAAACTTAGCATTTTGACGCATCAGCATATTGTGAGGAAAAAAATTATAAAAACGAAGATCCCGGATGAAACGAAGATGTGGTTTAAAAGACAAGCATCTAATCCAAAAATCTTACCAAAAAAGTCAAGTCATATAGTCTTCATGTCATAATAGTAATTCTCTACGTCAACTTCAATTTTCAAAACAAAACGGTTGTTCGGAAGTTTTTTATGAACTTGTGATCGTTTTGATTCAAATCAAAACTATTTTATTTAGACAAATTTTATAATTTCATAGTTAATGAATGTAATGAGTGTGCATAGTAAGGCTTAGTATTTAGTGTTTGTGTAAGGTAAAAATGGCTCCGACTGAAGCGGAAATTCTTCAAGCTGTGTCCGCGGCGAAACCTAATCCGCGAAATATTCCTACAATGTTTAAGATTTTTCAAAATGTTCAATACAACGTTGTTCAGCACAAAAAATATGTAAAAGAAATGAACAAGCTGTACAGAAAGGTATGGATGGTTAATTTTCTTAAATTATTTTCTTAAATTCTTAAACCCACCCAAACTTTAAATGTGAAAAGGAGGCCAAGTTTGATACAAATGAAGTTAGAGTTATTTGGCTTTTCCGATAAAAAGGTTGAAATCTGAAAGGGTGCAAAGCTCTAACTCTAATAGCAGTTCCAAGAACAGTTCCAACAAGTTCAAGTACAAGGCTACCTATATTTTAATTCTGTGGCTATATTTAAATTCTGTGGTATTCTGCCAATCGAAGGAAAATGAAAACTTAACTTGTAGAACAGTTCTTTAATACAAAATTACAAGTCATACCTTCGTACAAACATCAGCTTAGTAGTATATATAACCCTAAATTAATTATAGCTAAAACACGTAATATGAATGGAGATCATCAAAATAAGATTATTATTCCTAAATTAATTAATAAACTTCCTAAAACCTTGAAGGAAAATATCAATCCTAAAAATATTAAATACAAATTTAAAATATACTTTTTGAATAAAC